CCATCAGCTGCTGCCTCCCGTGGTGTGCATTAACAGGATGCTAGAGTTGGGAGCCAGAGCCAGGCATCAAACAGAGGCACGCTGGTATGGAATGTAGGCATGCCAAGTGGCGTGTTAACCATTGTGCCAAATGCATGCCCCCGAAATAAAATTGCAATTTCATTTTCCATAAACTTTCTTGAAGTCCTGTTATATTTAACAGGCAGTTATGCAGTGCTTACTGTGTCCCAGGCAGTGTTGGAGACATTCTATAAATATTAACTCATTAAGCCCTCATCATAGCCTAAAAGAGGGAGCCTGTTCTTACCAGTGCTTCACTCAGAAGCAGACAGAAATGGAGAGACGGACTGCAATGCAGAAGTCTGGCTGTGGAGTCCAGGTCCCTAACCACTGTGCCATGCGTGAGAGACCGAGCCTCATCCCTGCTTGGTTCTGCTGCCCGGGTCCTTGACCTCTGAGTGGTTCCAGGGAGGCAGCAGGGAGTCCTGCAGGCCAGAGCCTGGCTCTGGTTCTGATGGATTAGCGTGTTCCCTTTCCCCATCTGTAGGATGAGCTCATCCGTACCTCGGGGAGAATGAGAAGATCCAACAAGACTGCTTAGCTGGGTCCTGGGCTCGCGATAAGCCTTCAGGAAACATCAGTTGCTGTCTTCCACCTGGGTTCCAGTCACAGTTTTAATCCTCTTGCTCCACTGCTGTGGCTGGCTGGTGTGTGTTTTCTAATGCTTCTGAGGTGGCCAGTCAGATGCAGCTCCAACAGTACACAGGACAGGCTTAGGAAAATAAAGAGTGTTAGACTCAAGCCCTGGGCCGGGATGGGGTAGGGGAGCATGGCTGGCCACACACGGCCACCTGGAGAAGATGGCAGGCAGGCAGGAGAAGATAGGCATCAGGGGAAAGTTTTAGCCAGAGCTTTTAGTGGGGATTTCTATTGGGAAGATATGCCAGGGCAGCGGGAACAGATGAGGCATGGCTGCTTTGAGGATTTTGTGGGTTCTGAGCTCTCACAGGGTCTCACTGCCTGGTACCTGGTGCACGAAGGCAGAGTGATCTGGTGGGTGGCAGAGGCCAGAGAGGGGAGGTGTGGCTCTGGATAAGTTAGTTTGCATATCATAGACAGGTTTCTGGGGCTGGATCCTTCTTTATCTTTAAGTATTAGCCCCTGAGGGGCAGTCTCTTCCCAGCCACAAGGTTTTAAAGGTGTCAAAACATTATAATATGTAGAAAATAAGAAAATGTTTGCAGGGACCTGCAATGTGGCACAGAGGGTTCAGCGGTTGCCTGTGGTGCTGGCATCATAGTCCACTTCTGATCCAGCTCCCAGTTAATGTGCCTGGAAAAGTAGCAGAAGATGGCCCAAGTATGTTGGCCCTGCCGCCCTTGAGAGAGAGCAGGATAGAGGTCCAGGCTCCTGGCTTCAGGCTGGCCCAGCCCTGGCCATGGCGGCTGTTTGGGAGTGAACCAGTGGATGGAAGGATCCTTTCTCTGTTGTCCTGCCCCTCTCTCTGTCACTCTGCCTTTCAAACAGTAATAAGAAGTAATCTATTTCCTAGGCAGCTAATAACACCTAATTATAAAAAAAAAATGAATGAGCTGTTGCAGATCATTTTGAAGAAGCCCAGTGTTTGATGTGTGAGGTAAGATTATGGCAAGAACCAGACTTCAGGATACAGATGTGAGTTTATTTCTGTTGGAGTTTCTAGTCTGCTCAAGTGTAAGCCACCAAAAACACAAACCTCTTGTTAATTCCATGTCTCTTTGGACCTGGGGGGAGGGGCCAGCCTCAATAGAGTGTGGGTGAGAAGTGCTGGCTGTGGTCTGGGCTGTGAACCCTCCGAGCAGGTGTGTGTATTTCCTGCCTGGATCTGTGCACCTGCTCAGAGGCAGGTAGCCACCTCCCATGTGTCGTTGTTGAAAGTTCTCTATGCTGCTAGCCACTGGACACTTCTGTCGTCACCCACTCCCAGTTCCTTGTAAATGGATCTGGATTTTATTCTCATGCTTGCCTTTCTGACACAAGTCAACATCTCCTTTCCTTTTTTTTTTTTTTTGTCTGTTTGTTTGAGGGGGTGGGGGAAGATCACTGATGCAGTTGGTTTTGATGTTTATACTTAAGAGAGCCACTTCTGAGTGCCGTGTTAGGAGTCAGGAAGCATCAGTACTGAATTTGGAAAGCATCAACAAAGATCCACAGTATTGTTGCAACTGTGCAACTTGCTATAATGCTAGGCACTGTGCTTGTAGAATGGAATTCAAGGCAAGCTGAAGTGTGTGTGACACAGGTTCTTAAATTCCGGGGGCTCAGTGAACCTGCTCACACCACACCAGCCGCTGGGTAGTGTATGTGCATGCGTTTTCTTGGGGAGAAGTCTGCAAACTTTAATCAAGGAGCTCAAAGGGGCTAAGGAACAGTACACAGTAGAATTTTAGTCTTCTCTGTGTTTTCAGTAAGATTGCATCTCCACCCCCAAGAGCTAAGTTTAATGGAACAGGGGGCAGAAAACAAATAAAAGGCAATTTGCAAGGATTGGGCAAGGAAAAACCGCCAAAGTGTCATTTCCTTTATGAGGTCAGCAAAGTGTTCCAGTTTGCAGAGAAGAAATGGGGATATAAGTGGCCACACAAACTGAAAGCAAGCAGACTGCTATGGGATGTTTCAAGTCCTTAGAAAAGCCAACCTCTAGTATGAATAAAGCAATAGCATGCATTTGAAATGCAGTTCAATTCAAGTCCAATATTAGATTTCTGAATAGTACCAACTTTTAAAATTGTTTTAATATCACTAACTTCATTTAGAATAGTCTAAAAATTTTCATTCTGAATGCCTTTCACAAATCTGACGAAAGTACCCTGTTTACTTCCATTTTAACTGTGCAGCTTTTTTAAAAAAAGATTTATTTATTTGAAAGAGTTAGAGAGAGCGAGCGAGCGAGTGAGCATGCTTCCATCTGCTGTTTCACTCCCCAGTTGGCCGCAACAGCTGGAGATGTGCCGATCTGAAGCCAGGAGGCTCTTCCAGGTCTCCCACATGGGTGCAGGGGCCCAAGGACTTGGGCCATCTTCTGCTTTCCCAGGCCATAGCAGAGAGCTGGATCAGAAGTGGAGCAGCCAGGACTTGAACCAGTGCCCATATGGGATCCAGCACTGCAGGCGGTGGTTTTACCCACTACGCCACAGCACTGCCCCAACTGTTTAGCTTTAACTGGACAGCCAATGAGTATGATGACCACATCATTAGGTGCAGATGACAACGAGAAAAGCTTAAGTGCATTACGCTGATGACCTCCGACCACTATGCACGTGTTCATGTGAGACTACTGGTAATGACCCTGAAACAGAGGCAAATAGAGATGGAGGATGCTTCCCATGGGTCAAGTTGAAGGAGGTCAAATATTACCATCATCATCACTATTGAGGACAAAGCTGCTGCCTGTGGCCAGGACCCCTCTTCCCGAACATTCTCAGAACCACCCAAGACCCCCTCCCGCCGGAATCATCAGATAACTTTTCCTCCACCTCACTGCCTCCCTTCACCTCGCATCTCCCTCCTCCTGCTTTTCACCAGAGGCTTCAAAGGGCTTTTCCTCCACATCATTTCCTCCTTTCATCAGCATCTCAGGCCCCTTCTCATCTGGTTTTTTTCCCCTTTGTCTTCTCATTGGATGTATCATCAAAACTGTTTTGTGTGCGTTTTCCTTTTCTTCCTTCTCGTCTGAATGATCGCCCTCAGAGCCTTCCTTTTTTTGAGTCTCTGTCTCCTTATCAGCCTGTGGGGTATGTGGTGCACAACTTGCGAAATGCTGCATGTTAATCAGCTGTTCTTCACTGCACTGCATTAGCCGAGGCAACTAACTTCATAAAGAGAAGAGGCGTATGCAGCTGGAGGTTCAGGTCTAAGATGAGGTGGCCTCCCTGGTGTGGCATCTGGTGAGGGCAGCAGATAGCAGTGGCACAGTGTGTGCATTGGAAGGGCCACATGCAAAGCCAGGAAGGGGGAGAAGGGAGGACAGAGAGGGAGGGAAGGGGAGGGCAGGCCAAACTCAAGCTGTTGTGCCAACCGTCTTATGAGAACTACTCTCTGAGGGCAGAGCCCCAGTGTCCTGAGGCCCCTCCTACTAGGCCTACTTCCTAAACACTGTGGTTGGGTCCTATCTCCACTCCTCATCCAGTTACATAAGACGGAGGGTCCAGCCTTTAGCGTTTAAAGTTAGTGTGGAGTCCCCAGGCTAATTTCCAAACACTGGGGGCTGCCCAAACCACATCGCAGCCTGAGTGGCTTGTGTATGATGGTGTTCCTTTGCTGCCTCCAGAGAGGGTCCACCACTAGGCTAGCAGGTAGCCGACGCTGAATGCAAGCTGCATGAGACACTGTGCCTGGCAGATAGAGCAGGGCCAGGCACACGGTACATGTCTCATAAATATTTGTGAGTGAACAAATGGCCCTCATCTTTATTCTTAGTGTTTTTTCGGAATCTGATTACAGTCAACTCTGGCTTTTCCATTATCCCTGGAAATCTGGAACTGTAGCTTTTAATAAGTACTACCACATGTAACCAACAGAAATAAGCTCTTTAAAAAATGGGACATGCTAGAGTACACAACACCAAAAATAACAATGAACTTGAGCCAGAAGCTACTTTGGGGCCCTGTTGAACCTTCGGGTTGTCATTTTGTGTGTTAGTAACCATAGTGTTGGAAGGAAGGGGAACTTAAAACAGCTCAGTGGTGGAAGGCTATGTCGTAGAGTTTTCTCTGTGGGCCTCAGAGCTGGAAATAATTTTTTAAGGTGACTCATGTCCAAACATAGATTCTGCACTAGGCGGATTTGTTGTTGAGTAGGGTCTGTGCAGGTTGACAGTGTGATTTGTTAGGATAGGCTTTTTGGGGAGCCATTTGAGAAATGTGGGGGAAATTTAGATGTCCCTGTTCAAGTGGGAGAGGTGACCAGACAGGTGGGCAGAGGCCAAAGGCATTTCACACTGTTCCCGTTTTCTTTTACAGATCTGAAGAAAACTCTTGCTGTGTTACTGGATAATATCTTGCAGCGCATTGGGAAGCTGGAGTCGAAGGTGGACAATCTCGTCATCAATGGCACGGGAACAAACTCCAGCAACTCCACAACAGCTGTTCCCAGCTTGGTAGCACTTGAGAAAATTAATGTGGCAGGTAAGAATGACGATTCCATGTCCTGGCGTGGTGTCACTTCCTGCTTTGGGAAAAGATGAAAGGAATAATATAAATCCCACCAGCATGGCATAGTCATTGTAAAGTAAAGTTTAAGTCAGTTTATTTTTGAGTAACATATGTTAGAAGGCTTTTATGGTCTCGCCACGATGTGTAATATCCAGTGTTTTCTCTGACACATTTGCATATAATGGGCTCCTAGAACTCACTGGTATTGAGAAGATTCGTAAGCATGGATTAAATGATACACCAAGGTGATCAGAGAGGCCCCCACCAGTTAGAGTTGCTTCCTGCACCCCACTCCCATCAGAAAATTTCGAAAGTCTGATTCTCTGCTCTGCATTGTTAGGGAAGAGCCACCCATGCAGACAGTACCTCCAATGTGTATATGGAGAGAGAGAAATTCCAGATTTGCCATTTAGGGCATAAATGGCCCCTGTATCTGGCTTACCACATTATTGTCACTGTGCACTCCACCATGCAATTCCTACAGGGCTGTGTTTTGCCGGGCCCCTTCTTGAAACCAGAATGTTGAAAGAGAGAAGAGAAATGGGTTTAAGACCACACCCAGATCATACACAGCATGTTGCTGTCTGCACTTGACATTGAACTCTCATCCCTGTCAGGCCACTGCCCTTGGGTCAGCCCCTGGGCCTGTGCTTGAGGGCAGCCCTTGTTCTGGGGACCACAGTTCCTAGGGACCGTGGACAAAGCGCAGAGTTGGGATTAGGGTTAGATGCTTTGGGCTAGTGTTAGAGGCATACTTCTGGTGAATGGTAGCCCCTCTTTAGCTAGTGGATGAAGTAAGTTACTTTGAAGTTTTTGGAAACTCTCCTTGTATACTTCCTGGCATCTTTTTTCCTCTCTCCCTCTTTCTGGTCAAATTTCTCAGCCCCAGGTGGAAGATAGCCACTTTCTTGCCTACCTCCCAATGTCAAAACATTTAGTTGTTTCACTTGAAGCAAGCTGGTTGTGTTACCTTTTTTGTTGTGTGTTTTGCCTTGTTGCAAAATATATTTTGAATAATCCAAAGTATCCAACCAAACAAAGGTATTAAAAATAACTTTTAATTACAACACAGAGGCAGTGTCATCTGGGCCATAAATCCCATCTTCCTTGCAGTTTCCAGCAGCTTCTGTAATTAGACAAGAAAACCTCCCACTGTGGTGAGCTGCTTATTAATAAGTGGCAGCCATGCCTCCCCAGCCTTCACTCCCCTGCCAGTGGGAAGTGCTGTTGCGGGGGTCCGATCTGATTCCATCGTGTCTCTGCAATATCAGATTTCTGGAAGTTGGAATGGAGTGTGCTCCCCCTAACCTCACTGCCCCCACTGCCTCTGTCCGAGAGCGTAAGGACCTGTGTTAGCATGTCTGCAGCCTTTCTGACCTCTGGTAGGGGGTCCTGCTGTCTCTGGCTGTCCTGTTTGTGTGCCAGGCTCACGGACAGAGACTGCCCACCGTGCGCTTCAAGTCGTAGGGCACGGGATCGTGGACAGACCTTCAGGAAGGGGAGGGACTTGATGTCTGCTTTTTCACAGGAGATAATGGCCCTGTGTAAGGAGTTAGTCTCACTCAGTTGACACATACATAGCCTTGAGCTCGTTCTCGCACCTCCTTTCTCTGGGTGTGCAGGTGCATCCTGCTGTGCTGTGCTGCGCTGGCCGGAGTTGGTACAGCTGTGCTGTGCATCCTCTCTCTCCCCTCGGGGCTGGAGGGTTTTCCGTATCTTGTCAGGTAGCCCTTGCATATTTTGAACTCTTGGCCATGTCCGTAGATGAGGGTAGCAAGAAGAAAGATGCAGGTGTAAACGGATCGTCCTAGTTCATGAGCAGCCTGCATGGCTTTGCTGCCCTCGCCCTGATCCACGGCCGTGCAGTGCATCCTTGGGGCCTCTTGTCATCTCAGGGATGGCTCCTGAGCTGGGAGAGAGTTCATTTTTATGGGATTCCACTTCTCGCTGAGAGAGGGTTTTCTTTCCGCCTTCCTGCTGTAAGACATGTGGTAATGGCTGAGAAATGTCCTCCCTGGTGTGTCGGTGCTGTTTTCTCTGGTGCCCTGTTGCTCACTGATGTTCCTGCGTGCGTACTGTTGTCTCATTGCTTGCTGATATATCTTCTTCTTGGCTATAAACTGCTTCTAGATTGGGTGCTATCGCAGTTGAAGATGGATTCCCTAAATTTGTTTTCTCTAAAGGGACAGCTGTGTGTGCCCTTCATTTTCTCTGTGTAGCTGTGTTCTGTGTGGCCTTTACCCCAAGTGGCTTTTCTTTCCAAATTTATCACCCTTGGGCTTTCTGATTATGTGAAAGTGAATGTGCCTTTGGAGAAATTGAGGTGGAAATGAAATTTATTAAAATCAGGCATCGGATTACACTGTATTTTTGAGCTGTTATCTTGAGGGAGGGGAATCACAGAAATGACAAAGCATATTTTAAAAGGTCCCCTTCCTTCTGCCAACAGCAGTCAGTTTCTCCAAATATACACCCTGAAAGGGCTTCACTGCTCCCTTGTCAAAATTACCTACTTTAAGGATGATCCATTAAAAAAAGAATTGTGCCTCTGTGTAGTTTTGATTCCTTAAATGGCCAAGTGGAGTGGGGAGGATGGGTCACGCACCTGCTCACCTGAAACTAAAAGGGCCTGCTTTCTGAGGACCGAGACCCAGCCCACATCCTCTTTGTGCTGCCTTTGGTGTCACGTTCAAAGCCTTACCTGTTGCAGGTGCACCACAGGTACTGCTCAGGTGGATTGCGTTCCAGGGGAGGAGACTATATTTGCTTTCACTACAGAAGGCGTTTCTCTTCTCCATTTATATTTTCAAGTACTCAGTATCTCATTGCCTTTTCTCAGACCTCAGCAGCTAAGTAGCAGGACTCCCTTTTGTGTTGGTTATTCTGAGCTTCTGTGCTGTTGAACTTGCACCGATTGTGATCCTTACAAGTCTAGATTGTGATCTTTGGGAGGATGGGAGCATTGCCTTTGCTCTCTGTAGGGGGGGTGTCTGTGTACATGTATTCACTTTATTCTCAGTAGCCTCTTGTCATTTGACATCAGCTGAACAACTGACCGATGTTGACTGTGTGCTGAAAGTCAAAATGGTATCCAGTTTAAGTATTTCATTGTGATCACTTAGAATCGCAAGGTCAACATGCACAAGATTAAAGGTGCAGGCAAAACTGAAGTGACTGTTTTCTGGTGTTTACTCGAAATTGCATGTTTAGCAGGCCTGTATTTTTCAAATACCACTTGCAGCATGCAGCATCTTCCTGTCCTCAGAGTTGAAGTATGCTGTATTTGAACTTGACTGCTGTTCTTAAAAACACAACCATATTATTATTCTGACCATCTGAAAACACGTCCCTGCTGAGTTCCAGGGCTTGCATTTGGAAGTGTCATTTTCTCCCCTTTGTGCTGCTAATGGACCTTGAAATTAAGTTGCACCTGTGCACTTTCTTTGTGTCCCTGTGTTATCTTTTGGGTACCTGAAGTGTCCCACCTCTCAGCCTAGGCAGTGGCTCCGCAGGTGCATTCAGTGGGATCTCAGATGAGACACTGCCCGGGAACGGGAGGGAAATGATACTGCAGCATGTAATCCTGTTTGAGCAAGAAATAAATAGGTTCCCTGTGCAACCTGTTACTTCCTGTTTTGTTCTTTGCAAAGGTGGCAATGAATATCTTAATGCTTAATAGAAACTATTCTTGTTGTATTTGAAAACAAAATTATTTTACCCATTTGAAAGGCAGAGTGACAGAGAAAGAGAAGAGAGATCTCTCATCTGCTGATTCACTCCCCTAATGGCCACAATAGCTGGGACTGGGTTAGGATGAAGCCAGGAGCCTGGAATTCCAGCCAGGTCTCTCATGTGGGTGGCAGGGGACCAAGTATCTGAGCCGTCTTCCGATGCTTCTCAGGTGCATTAGCAAGGAGCTGGATCAGACGCAGAGCAGCCGGCACTGGAACCAGCACCCATACAGGATGCTGGCTTTGCAGGTGTTGGCTTAACCTGATGTACCACCATGCTGGCTCCAGTGTTTCTGTGTCTTTACAGAAATGCACATCTTTGTTGGTGTGCTTTTCACTTCCTGTGGTCAAGGGTGTTTTGATTTTTATTAAGAAGATGGAAGATACAAGTTAGGAGCAGTGATGCTGACCCGTGAAGCTGTGTGTGTGTGTGTGTGTGTGTGTGTGTCTCACAAGGACCCTCAGTTCTGGATGATTCTGTCCCTCAGTGAACACTTGGTGACATCTCAGGATATTTGTGGCTGTCACAGCTAGGGCAGTTTTATTTTTATGTAATAGATGGAGGCCGGGGTTGCTGCCAGATGCCCCACCACATGCAGGGTACTCCTGACTGCCGGGAATTATCCAGCCCCAGTGGCAATCCGCTGTGGTGAGAAACCCTGATCTACAGGTGGTGTTGGAGTCCGGTGCGAGCTGAGCCAGGGTTTCCCGCTGTGGTCAGTGCAAAGGGGTACCTGAGACTGACACCACAGTCGTCTGATGGCTCTGCTGAGACCTCAAGTTGTTTTTGCCCTCTTCCTAGCAGGGCTGTATACAGGCCTCCCAACCCCCACTGCACTTAGCTTTGCAACTGGACTTTGAGACCTCCAAGGAAAGAGACTTCATGAACTCCTAGAAGATTATTCTGGGATCCTGACCTTAAAAAACTCCTCTCCTGGCCTGCACTCAGAGCCTTATTTTATTATTATTATTTTTTTTTGCAGTGTGCGTTTCCTTCTTATAGCAAATATAATTATTTTCTTTTCATGGAAGAGCCGCTAATTCAGAATAATGACAAAGCAAAGTAGTCTCAGAATAGATTTAAATTGCAGAATGTTTCAGAACAAATGCTATTTTATTATTTTGAAGTAGAGTATATGTGATTATCAGGATATGAATGACTAAATGGAATGCATTACAGAAAACCAGACAGGTCCCCAAAGGTCTACTTTACAGCGTGAAATGTATCCTCCACAGCTTGCT